CTTTTATTGCCAACAGCTTTTCTCAGTGGTCAGGAAATACTTAAAGCAATAAGGAGTTTACCTGTGAATGGCCTTCTTCAGGTGTTCTGTACTCACTGCTGTGTTGTCCATGTTTGTGACACACAGAAGAATTTCTGAACTGCATTAATAGGTTTTTCCAGTCTTTGTCACGTGAGCTGTGTCAGCAGAGCTGCAGACACTTGCTGCAGACTCTTTAACAGAAGTTACAGCTTGGTATTTCTGGTTGCCTAAGGCAATTTTAAGATGATTGCAAATGTGTTAATATGAGTCAGATTTTTTCAGTCCTGTACAAAGTTTGTCCTTGCATAGTGAAGGCCTGTGTCAGGTGGGACACTGCTCTGAGGAGACTCTGCCTCTTTGGAAAGGTGTTTGGCAGAGGCTCCATCTAAGACATTGTCGATGGAGCTGGTGTCTGCAGGTGAAGAAATCACAATTTCCTGTAGGTTTTACTCATTTAGGAAGTGATAGCTTTTACTGTTATCTTTTTTGTCATTTTGAGGGGTAGCAGAGCTAAAACACTGAGTCCTACTCAATTGTTTCCCAGTGAACAAAAATGTTCCCTATTCAAGTATGGCAGGATGAAGTGGAACTCTGAGAAAGAATGTTTATTAATAGGAGCAGTGGGAGCTGGTGGATTTAAAAAGAGATTGAGGGTTGAGTGCCAGTTGCTTACATTTTCAGGAAAAATGCTGAATTTTATATGCTTTAAGTCAGAAACACTGAGAGTAATAAAACTAAATTACTTAGATCTTTGAAGTTGTATGGATATGATTTTTTTTGTTAAGTTCTTAGCTGAGAAAAATGATTAAATTATTTGAAAATAAAGTACAAAAGATTATGTGTTCAGATTATTTTTCACTGATCTCTGGAAGGAATGCAGTGATTTTGCCAGTAAGGGGCAGAGAAAACAGCTTAGAAAGGCCAATGTAATATTTTAGCAGATTTGGTTGAAACATTGAGGGCGAGTTTAAATGAAAGAATGTCTTTATTTAAATGAGTTTTTGATCAGAATGCCAGAAGGTCTGCTTGGAGTATGAAAAATCTTCCTTTTTATACTGTATAACTTATGTCTGTACTGACAAGGATTCCAGCAGATGCTGAATGTGCTCTGTTTTGGCAGTATGGAGAGCCAGATTTGGTATGGACTGTTGATGGTCTTGTGCCAAGCAAAGAATGAGAGACCAGGGGTTTTGACCCTACGGTAAGTGGATCCATCCAGCAGACTTCTTATCAGTGGACCAGATAAAAAACTCTTTTATATCTGGATTAGGGACCTGTCAGGCTAATTGTTTCATGGTGTGGTGGCAACCAACAGTTCATAAAAGCTAAGTATACTCTTTTCTGAGAATCTGAAAATGGTTTGCAGTCTTAAACTAAGCCTTACTATTCCTTCACTAACAAATCTATGAGTAAACTCCTGACTCTCTTAGTGCCCTTTCACACTACAGGGCACATGGCCAATGGGCCCGTTGATGTAATTGGAAGAAACTACAGCAATTCAAGCCTAACATAGCCAAGAAGCAAAATACTGTATTACCTATAGTGTGTTTCTCTCCAGGTGCTGCAGCTCAGTGGTGTCCATAGCAGGTACCAGGGTTACATTTTTGGAGGAGACTGCAGGAATGTTGAAGACTTACACAACATCAGGGATCACGTTGTGCACAGAATTGTGCATCCTGGAATCAGTCTTGTTTTGGGAGAATTGCTGCCTGAGCAGTTACTTGATAGATGAGCAGTCCTGTGTGGCACTCTGAGCTGCCTTTGGAGACATTCTTCAGGGAAGGAAAATCGCTTTCAAATCCAGCAGTTGCTCTGCCTCCTTCAGTGTGCAACTGATCCTGGAAAATGAATAAATAGAAAGCTTCTGCAATAAATGCTGTTCTGAAATCTAACTCCAGAGCTGTGTCAGGCAGGGATGGGGGAAGGGGGAAAAATGAACTTTGCCTTGCTTTTTCTGAAAATTGGATTGTGTGCTTTAGAAACAGCTGGCAATCCTAAGTAACGGCTCGTGCTCCCCACTAACAGAGGAGAGCCCTTGCTGCCAAGAGTAGATGTTGCTGGAAATTTGTGACAGAAAGACTGTCTGAGCCCCAACTGTTTTGCTGGAAACACAGTAGGTCTGATGAGCTGTGCCTGTATACTGAGCAGGATTCAGGGGTATCTGGCAGCCGACAGCAGGGTCTGGGCTCCAGGACCCCCCTGCAGCTGCTCAGTGACATTCCTGTCAATTTTCCATGCTGCTACTCGAAATGGATCTGACAGAAATGTCTGCTACTACTCTGGTGTGTTTGCTTTTCAAGTCTATTTTCCAAGGTCTATCCTAGGAAAAAATGTAGGTGCATGCCAGCCAACCATTTCCTCTTCCCAGTAATTGGGGGTGATGTGGGAAACAGCCCTTTTGTAAGGATAAAGCTGAAACACATTGTTGCAACTTATTCTTTTTTCCTTCTCATACCATTTCAAAAGCTGAAGGAATCAGTGTTCTTTTTTGCCTCTTCCTCACCCAGGGTATGATATTGGTCTCTGCTTTCAGAAGGAGTTGTCACATCCTTGGTCCAAGATGCTTGGATGCTGCAGCTGAAAGAAGTTTAGTTTGGCAGCAGGACATCTGTGGTTAGTCCAGTTGTTCACAGGGACTTCCGGGAGTTGTGTGCCAGTGGGAGATGGAGTGTCCTTGCTTTCCTTTTCATCCTCACATACTCCTTGGGATTGTGAGGAGAAAGAGTCCTGTGTCCTGTCAGCAGTTTAAGCTTTGCCTCATACTCCGCAGAGTTGTCAGGAATCATCCCAAACCCTCTGAAGTGAACACAGAGCCAAATCTTGGTCAGTGGCACCAGTAGTTCAACCACCCAGCTTCCCAATCTGTAGGGGCTTCCACTTGTTTGACCTGTTTTCCATCAGCAGTCAGTGCAGGTCACTCTCCCATGCTGGTCAGCTGAGGAGTTGTTTAAAGCTGAAATGTTTTTTAATTCCTGTCAGTATTGCCTGTGTGTTTGGCTCAATCAGAAGTGAACTGCGCTGTCACAAAAATTGGTCTTGGGACCATCCAGCCCCTTTCCATCCAGTTCTTTGGATAATTCTGTGTAGTAATGCACTGTGCCTTTATTGGGCAAAATCATAAATGCCCCAAGTTAAAAGGTGCATCCTGCTCTTATTGTGTGGCTTAAAAGATCTTACTCTTGGAAAGCTATTGCACCTACATGTTTAAATTTCAGAATTTTCTCTTCTTGCTGCAGGCAAGCAAAATCCACTGCTCTTTTGCTGCCATTTCATTGTGCTGCAGTGAATGAAGGGTTTCAATTAGAGACATGATATCTCTAATGTGCCACTCAGCTGGCATGGGGATCTGTTCCTTTCACCTCCTAGGCAGTGTTGAGGGGGCACCCTGATTTTCTTCCCAAGACTCCCACTTAAAATGTGGCCGTTGTTCTGCATTGCAAGGGGATCTGTTAAGTGCTCTCAGCTGTTATCCATGGCCTCTCCTGGCGTTATTGTGGGATCATTCTCTTGCTCGGGGGTGTTAAAATTTTTTGTGACCTGGATCTTGCCATGAAATTGTACAAAAGAAATTCAGAACCTATAGACTTTCACTCTATAAAGACTAAATTTGGGTCAATGCATACTGTAATGTAGTATACTATAAGCAAAGGCTTTCAAATGCCAACATCAGAGAAAATGTATTTGATTTCAGCTCTAGCACTACATAAGCTCCCTATTTGTTTCTCCAGTTTTGCACATATGGATGCTCCACAGAGAGAAGATTATTACTGAGCTCTCCCAAAATCATTTATCTGTGAGACTCTGCCTTGCAGCATACATATTGAGGAGGGGAAAAAATGATTTGTTTCTGTTTGACAGTGTTTTGTTGATCTGATGCAGTGTAAAGGAAAAGCTTGAGGCCTCTTATTTTTGGAAGGATGATACCTGTATTTATAGTGATGGTATTACTACACAAAGCAGATTCTGATCACTCCTCCCTGTTATTTGCTGTGCAGAAAAAGAAATCAAATGCAGTCATTTTGTTAAAAAGCTGAAAGCAGAGTAAGAAAATTTTAAGGCAATATAAATGCCCCACTGTGCCTAAACGAGCAGGACAAGGCAAGACTGTGCATTTTTACTTACAGTGCTTGGCACTACACTGCATTGCATTTGTCCCACATTACTTGGATATTACTGTTTTCCGTGTTGAAAGAGGACTGTGATGTAGGGATGTGATAGTGTGACAGTGTGTAGCTGTAACACTGAAATCAGAATGATGATTCACCAGAATTCCTGAATAGTAACTGGTAACTGATGCTGACGAAGGCACATGTTATATTGGATAGTATTTCCTCTAACTGTGCTAAGCTGTTCATAGCCCTTTCTGAAACACTTCAGTGTGGCCAACAGCTCCCTTTTTAATTTCCACATTAGCTAGCATAAAATTTTTCTGCACTTCTTAAATATGCATGGCCATGCATATTTTAACACTTTATATTATTAATGCAAGTATTAATGTATTTGGGTAAGAGACTTAGAATGTTAAGTTAAACTGAGCTTTCTTTTCATATTCAGTAATTTGTATTTACATATTTTAGAAAGGAAAGTTGGCCTAGAAGCATCTTCTGAATCTTGAAGCAAGAGTAGAGCGACTTCAAAGGAAAAATGCTTCTAAAAGGAAATCCATGCTTATCTATTTTTAATATCAGGTTGAACTACTTTTAGGATGTAGAAAATACAGCCTGTACGGGTGGGGTTTTGGGGCTGAGCTCAGCTGGTTTTAGGGCTGGCTGATGTCAGGGGGTTGCTGTCCCCTGTACCTCTCTGCTGCCAGGGCTTTCTGCTGTGCCTGTTGCGTTGTCTTGGGCAATTCTGGGGTCCCTTGGTGAAACCATTTGTCCTGCTAAACTGGGGCAAAAACTAACCCAGAAAAAACACGATCCAGGCATTAAGTAACAAAGCAATACAGGAACATAGAGGAGCTGGTACCAACTCATTACCTGTGTAATATTGCTCAGAGCTTGACCCTGTGTGGTTTTTCTTCTTTCTCCCCAAGTGACGCTCCTTTATTTGCTTGAAAGTGGTTCTTTTATTTAGTTGTTGCGAAACACTTGGTTTCCTAATGGAAATACATAAAATGGTGAAATAAAACACATTATTGAAGTAAAGGAGGCAAATATAAGGAAGGACCCTCAGTCCTTCCTGTTCATGAAAACAACAGAGCATCGACAGTAAAAAAGAAATACTCATTAACTGAAACACACCCTGCTTTCTAATGGCCAGTATCTGTGGCAGTGGCCTAATTAGGACCTAAAAAGCAAGGGAGGTGCCTCTCGGGTTTCTGTGGGTATATCTGTGTGCAAGGTGAAATGTGGAAGTTGCTGTGAAGCACCTCTTTGTGCGTTGGTGCCGTTAAGAAGGGCAGCTCATCGCCAGCAGCGAGGATTAGCAGCTCATGCGAGAGCTTTGGGAAGCCTTTATCCTCCCTCCTTCCCTGCACAGCTGTTGTTGCTCATGTTCTGTGCACACACAGTTTGTAAAGGCACATATGCTGCTGCTGCTCCTGCTGCTGCAAACTGCTCTGCCCTTTGTGCTCCACAGACAGCAGCAAATTTGGAGGTACCGTGGCAGGGCCTGCCCTGTGTGACACCTGAAATCTGATGGTTTTTGGGAGGCAGGTTAAATGTGTGCATTGGATTTTTTTCCTTCCCTCCAGATCGGTGTTATCTCGACCCTGATTTTGCACAATTTTGCAACTGCCTACTTTCTGCTTGACTAGAGATGTTAACACTAATTAAATTATGTATGGCTATTTCTGACCAGGACAAAAACATAATCTTGCCTTGTTTGAAGTAATTCTTATGGATTATAAAAAATACTGTTTTTTTTTTACAAGAGATGATTTCACACTTGGTGGTGCAGTTAACGCTGCTGGACCTTTTCTGTCTAGAATAAAAATGTATTTCATATTTCCAATTTTTTGTGCTTCTGTTTGTTCTTAAACCCACCCCCCCACACAAATGTGCATCACTGATATAATAAATCTACTTTGCAATGGAAGTAAAAGAAAAAATCTCAAAGGTTTAGAAGGTCACAAGGAAACTATTTCCTCTAAATTCCTGAAAACGTATTTTTACGTGGTAATAGGATTAATGTTGTTGGGGTTGCCTGCCCCATATTATTAGAAGCCCAAAAGGATAATATCTTAACTATAACTTGCCTGCAAAGTATCTCCTTATCCTAGAGTGAAAATTGTTTTGAGGAACATCTTGTGATGGTGTGGTTTCCAGCAGCTAAACAATGAGAAGGATGGGTGTGCGTTGGAGGTTCTCCTCGGGGTTTGGCCACTAATGTGCTTTCTGGCCACAGAGTCCCTCGTGATTGAAAACTCCAAATAACTCTGGAACCCATGAATTCTGCCCTAAATTCCTCATACCACCAAGTGGTAATTTTCTTGTGTGTGAAAGGATATTGTGTAGAGGATTATTTCCCCTCTTAATGAAAGTGTGATTGTGCTCCTATGCTGGGACATGCTCAGCAGTGACTTAATAGCAAAGATTCACGAATAAGGGAGTTAAAAGAAGGAAGCAACCAAATCCAGCTGGTTTTACTGATTGAATTTAGTGCAGATGTAGTTTGTTTCTGCACTGTGAAGTGAATCTATTCAGAAGGATGTCCTCCTACGAAAACTTGTATGGAATTTTTAATAGCCACAAGTGGTCACAGCATTGTTTATACATCTTGTCTGAAAGCTGGAAAATGTTCCTATAATTAAGTTTAAAAAAAGGGAGCATGTAGGGGGAAAGGAAGAGAGATAGCCTGAGAATATCCGTTGAGGCAAATGTCCTGAGACAATCGGATTTGTTCTCAGAGATGGATGTATATTATTTTAAAGGCCAGAAGAAACATGTCTCCCCATTCTGTGTATGGGCGAGGACAAGTTTGTTTAGTTTTAAGCCTTGCATTGTGTAAATATCTTTACACTTGCAAGATGTTTCAACTGCAGCAAAATTAAATTCCATCTAATTGTTCTTTGCTTGGAATGGAAATACTGAGGACCACCAAATTGGGGCTGACACAGAAGAAGGAAAATATTTATCTTTATGAAACCAGAAAGTTAGTTGGGCAATGAGAGTCAGGCAGTTGTGTTGCTTCATAAGTAGGGTTACAGAATGAGTGTTTTGTCTGTTGTTAGATATTGTTAGATATTTGCTTTCTGCTGCCTGTGGATGTTTTACTGTGTCCTCTTGAGAGACTGAACTCTGGAGTCAGTTGAAGGGGTCGGGTGAGGTTGCTTTGGCTGGTGACTGACAATCAGAAGGCTGAAGTGAAGTTAAACTCGGGAGTTTTGGTTCATATAATACCATTGGAGAACTGGAAAATTATTTACATTTTACTACTGAAAAAGGTGAAGATATCAGGACTTGGAAAGTACTAGATTTGTCTTCTGTTATGGGATTTGCTCCTAGTTTTCACTAACCTGTGGGAATTTGCTTTGCCAGCTGATCTGTTGCAGTTTTTTCTCAATCTGTAAAAGCCTTTTTTTTTTTTTGGTGGCTTGCTCAAAAATGCTTCATATTGAGTTGTGGAGTAATGCTCTTCTTTGGATAGTACTTGGGCTGTCCATAGTGAAAAATTATTTAACGAAGTGGTATCACAACTGGTGGACAATACATGGATTTCTGTGGGGAGCTGCAGTTTGTTTTTGTTTTCCCCATACCCATTATGGTAAACAGACCTGTATCAAAAGTGTGTATTCCAGTAAGTGTTTGTTTACAGGATATTCATATAAGTACATTTAGATCAGTTACAGTGATTGAACTCTATAGGCCACATTAGAATATATTAAATATTTTTCTGGGTTTTTTTCTGTGGGTATATGGTGGTGTGTTTTTGTTTCTACTTGGCCAAGAATATGATTTGCACTTTCAACAACTTTGTTCCTTGTAAATAAAATTTTAGTAGGTATATTGACTTTCTCTTTGGTAGTAGTTGAAGTTTTAGAAAAAGGAAATGCTCTCCTTGTAAGTGAAAAGGTTTTCACAGAAATGACTTACTTAAGCACATTGTCTTTATTTAAAGATTGGAAGATATAATGAAAGGATGCTGCAGCTGCAGTTTATTCACTGTACTGAAGTGCTTTTGTTCTTTTGTAGTATTTAAATGTTCATGCTAACTCCTCCCATCCTCTCTACTTTGTGTTTAGATTGGTGAAACACCAAAAAAATAGAAATGACTCAGACAGGACAGCTCCAAAATTTGTTTTACAGAACAAATCCGTGCTCTGTGAGCTCTTCTATGTGGAGGATTATGTGAACACAAGATTGAAACAGCAGAAGTGTTCTTCCTGCTGGGACAGGGCACTGGGGAGTCATCCTGACAAATCATCCCTTCCCTGTGCTGCTAGTGTGAGGGGAAGGAAAATATTGTCTGTATCAATAGTTTCTGGAAGCTGAGCAGTACTGTAACTCCCACTCAGTTATATCCTGATTCTTCTATCTTATCAAAAGACACTGGAATCTTTTGGCTCTGATATTAATACCATTATTTAAAGATGTTGCATTAATGTGCAGTTTTATCTAAGTGCCCTGCAAGTGCAGAATCTTATTTTCCAGCAGACTTCTTGTCTTGCATCTGGCAGATAGGTACTTGATGTTATTTCCTAATGCAGAAGGCAGTCTGACTCCATTTAGTTTATTCCCTTTTTGTCTAACAGCAGCATTAATTACACTGGGAGGGTTGTCTGGGCTGCAGCTGAGATCAGAGGAGAGGAAAACACAGCAGACAGTCTCTGGGTGCTGTAGGAAAACGACTGAGGAGTTCGATTTCTTATTTTGGTGGGTTGCTTGAGCATAGAAAACTGTCACAATTTCATGTTCATTCCAAAAAGCAATTTCACTTGTTCCAGATATTCCAGACCTGTCCCAAGGAGCCTTAACTGCATGGTAATGGAAAAGAAACAGCAGTGCCACTCACTGCTGTGCAGCTTTGGGAAGGGTTTGTGGTAGTGACTAATCCAGAGATTGTGTAACTCAGCTGGAAGAAAAAGCAAGCACCATCTATGAATTCTAAATATTTAATGGTTAAAATTATTTTCTGTTTGGATTCTGATTAGTATTTCCAGTTGCCATTAAGGTGAGAGTTACCAAAATGTCTTGCTGTGGCAAAAAGTTAAAAAATGAAGAACTCTTACTAATACTGGTACTGCAAAACATTAATGTAATTTCACCTGCAATACTGCAAAAATGCATTAAGGATATCAGAATGTGTTTCCTAGCTGAGAGAGTGATTGATTATATACAGTTTGCCTTTTTTATAATCAGCATTGGGTAACAGTTTCAATTGGTTTTTGTTGTCAGTCCTCAGTTAACTAGTGGGAATATTTGTGGTGTGTGTATGTACATAGTGTGTGTATAGTCACAAAATCCCTTGAGCTTTGATGTTTTAAGATCTTAGAATATACATGTAATACAAAGATGTAATGTGGGAATGTGTATTTACAAGGTTTGATGTGAAAAGAATCTTAGCACTATTTGCATGCAAGGAATTTTTAGGAGTGGGTAGATTTCTGATGAGATGAAAAGAAAAAGCAGGTAAACATACTGAAGTCTGGTATTCGTTCAACAGAAGGCTGTCATTTCCTAAACTGGAAATAATTTAATCATGTTTGTATCTGGAGTAGTTAAATGAGATCATTTGCCATAATTACTTCATGTCTAACAAGGTCTGTCGCCATTTGGATTTTATGTTCAGATTCGGATCCTAAAAGGAAAGGAGCTTAACCACTGGATGTTGAAATAATCAATATATTTCATTATTAAGATTTGAACAGAGGCTGTGTTTCAAATGTGGGTTTAAAACTCTCCTCTCAAGCTGAACCTTCTCTTTGTAGTCCTGGTGCTACACAACCTGTTAAATATGTATAGGACACAAAGCAGTGGCTTTGGCCATCCCAGATGACTACACTTGTTTGTGTTGCTGTTGGGACAGAACCATTTAAATAACTTATTAATTATTTTTGTTGTTCCATTTTACTGAGCTGGAAGGAAAAGCTGTTCTATAATTAACGAGCTATTTCCAAGAAAGCATTAAAATTGTTATTGTAGGATCATTGCACAGGAGGTGAATATTTGTGGTTGGTGTCTAGTGCTGTAGAAAGAAACAGGGGAAAATTCTGGCCGAAGAAGTTTCTTGCTGGGAAACATCTGATGGCTCAAAAAAAGCAAAGATTTTGAGCAAATAACTTTTGGTGTTTGAACTCAGCACCAGGATACACATCTTGTGTATAGCACTGGATATTCTTTGACTTTTTTCTCTGAAAGACAGTCGAGCCTTTTGATTCAGAGTTCATTTACATGAAGAATTTTGGTGTGTTACT